ATGGTAAGCCTCTGGAGATTTTACCTTGCACCCCTTAAGGTTGGACCCCTTGGGATTTCGGGGGACCCTTTCTTAAGGATCCCTAAGGGAATATCAGGGCATATCAGGGCCATCTTGGGAGTAGATGAAGGGGAACCTTTAGGGGTACAACCTCAGGGGGGTACGAGCCCTCATCCCTTGAAAGGCCCCCCCCCCACCCTAAACCCGAAACCCGAAACCCGAAACCCTAAACCCTAAACCCTAACCCTAAACCCTAAACCCTAAACCCTAACCCTAAACCCTAAACCCTCAACTCTCTAAGGTAAGTGGCGGCTCCAAAGCTTCATCTCCGAATGCTCCTCAGGTTTCTTTTTTTTTTTTTTTTTTGGGGGGGGGGGGGGTTTGGGGTTTGGGGTTTGGGGTTTGGGGTTTGGGGTTTGGGGTTTGGGGTTTGGGGCTTGGGGCTTGGGGTTTGGGGTTTGGGGTTTGGGGATCAGTGCTCTGCTTGTAAGTTTAAACATGCTGTCTGTTCCGCATTTCAGGAACTAGTAACATAGGTATGTATAAGGAGGGAATGAAGAGAGGCCGTCTGAAATCTGGACGGAGACAGCTTTTGAACTCGTCTGCCTGTGTTCACCCGCCACTTACTTTCCACTAGAACATAGAAATTAATACAAGATGCGAGCGGCGAGCCACACAAAGATTGAGGCGGGTCGCTGGTCGACGAAACTCTCTCACATCAAAGGTCCCTGACACCCCCAGTTCCTTACCTGCTTGCAGCAGGACCGGGGGGTAACACCTGCGGAGCTTAAAGTCTTGGGGGTTTCGATTTGGAGTTGCAAAAAAACTCAGGTTGTTCCTCTCTGCCATTCAGCGGCCTCCATGCTGCCCTCGCCGCCATTCAGCCAGCCAGGGTAGAAGCCTAGGTTTCGGCTACGATGCTCGCTGCTGACGCCCACACTCGGCCATGCGCATGTCCCGGGGGGAGCGTGTGATTCACGCCAAGGGACTTGCAGAAAACACGTGGGGTGGCAGAGTCAATGATGCCTGCCAGCTCATCAGGACTTGACCCGAGGCCTATCTTGCGTAGCCTGTGCTTCCAAAGGGGTCCTTGGGCCTTTGTGCAGCATAAACTCTGGCAAGCCGGCCGACTTAAAAGCTACGACTCAAGACTTCGCGCCCCAGCACCCCGAAAACTGATCAAGCAAAGTGTTGAGGGTTTAGCACGTGCGATTTGGCCCGCCTGCTCCCGCATTATCTGCGTCTCCTCAGGGATGTGTTACTCACACAGTACGAATCAAACTGTTCCTTGTCTATCTCACAGTAGGAATGGCCTTCAAACCTTCGGGGCACATTAAGAGTGATGCAAACTCTCTCGGCCACATCCTGCTGGATCTCATTTCCATGTACGATGCCCCGCTGCACATTCGGCACCTGCACGCGCGCCACGCAAGGAGCATCTTTCTTTCTGAAACCTCAAACCCTATAAGCCCCATACCCCCTAGACCCCGCAATTCCAGAATCCTTTTGACAGACGCGTGGCTGTGTCACTCGTGCCTCCCAAACACAACACGCGTCAGGATTCTCTGAAATGAAACTTGAAAAGACAACGGAAACCCCGAAGCCTTCAACCCTTTAACCCCAAAGCCGGGAAAGGGGGGGGGGGGGTCGAGGGGCGTTAGGTGAAAGTCGGTGCTGCAGAAGTGCTTGTTCCACCCTCAGTGTGGGGCTGCTAGATTTTGGGCCGACCGTTCTCCTCGCCTCGTCCGGTGTCCCGCCCTGCCTCCTGGCCTGGGCCCTGGAGTGCCCACCCCCAGAAAGCCGCAAAGAGTCGCGCCGTATCCCTGGGGCGCACACACGATCGAGAATCCAGCAAAGAGTCCTTTCACACAGAAGCCCGCAGAGAATCCACCGGAGTGCCAGAGAAACCAACAAAGAGTGCCCCAGGCCGCACAGAGTCCCGCCGAGCGTCCTGCAGAGTATTTCTGGAGGGCCCAACATCCCAAAGAAGTCAAAGCTGCCACAGAGTCCCACCGAGTGTCCACGTCCCGAAACACCGAGAACGGTCGGACGGCTCCCAAATCGGTTAGGATGCGTCTGATCGAAGTACATGCTTTAGGGCACCGGGGCATCGACATCTCAACGACTCCCCAGCCTCTTCGGACCACCGGTAGTATGCTCGCATGAGGACCTGTCATGCTCCTCCTGAATCACCTCTAGCCTCTAGCACACGCCCGTTTCGTCCCCGAAGACCCAAAGACCTAGGCAAAACCCTCTCAACCCCAATGCGGCCAATGCCCTATATCATGAAAACAGAGTTGAAACCCAGCACCCGGTGGCAGAGCTTCAAGGCCAGGCCTTTGGCCCTCTTTGTTGGCCACCCACACTGCTTTTTGTCACTGCACCCTTAACCCGAAGCCCATGCTCTACTCTTAACAAACCCTTTCTCTATTCGGGTGACCCAAGTTTGATCCAGAGAGTGCTTGTCTACGAGTCTACAAGTGGCGTCCCTCAAGACCCCAACCCAAATTTGCATCCCGACTTAGAAAGCCATTATGTCAGAGATCGTGAGAGCTCTCGGCAAAATCGCAACCGTTTTGAAGGGACCCCTGGTTCAAATCAAGTTGCTGTGGGTTTGGGGTGAGGCCTCACTTTTTGGGGTTTAAACTCGTTTGGGAATGTGGGGTTAAACATGTTTGTCCAGCACCTTTTTGGAAACAAATCTGTTTGGAATGGGCTGCGGAGGGCTCCAAAAGACTGTGGGAACTTTGGGAGTCCTAGACTCCTAGACCCAGGAGATGCCGAGAAACCGCAGAAGGCAGAAGCCACAAAAGGCCCAGGCAGAAACCCGAAAAGTTTTCAAACCATTCAAAAGGGAGAAGGGTTTTGCATCAAGTCCTTGGTGGCTTTGGGGGGGAATATGCTGCAGGAATCGACTGGGGCCAGCTTCGCTGGCAAGCGCAAGCCCCATACCCTAAACCCTAAACCCTAAACCCTAAACCCTAAACCCTAAACCCTAAACCCGCGCACTTTGCTCCGCCCCCCTCCACTTCCGCAGCTTCCTTGACCGCTCAGGCATCCACGCGCTGCTTCTTTGCAGGTGGCTGGGCGACCTAAGCTGAGAGGATGCATGTATACATATATATATATACACATGTCTATATGGATATATTTATAATATATATATATATATATATATGTATATATATATATATACATGCACATACACATACACACATATACATATACGTACTTGTATATGTATGTGTGTGTACATATTTACCTATCTACACTACCAAGAAGTTTAGGGCTTAGCTACTTATTCCTTAATTTGCCGCCCGCCTAGCTGAACGTAGGGCTGAGGGCTTTAGGGTTTTACGGTTTGAGGTGCATATAAAGTTGCAGGGACGTCCAGGCAGCTGCTAACGATGAGTGAGGTCGAAGCATTCGATTCCGATGGGGCTTAGGGTTTGCGGGTTTTTCGGACCATTCTGGTGCAAACGTGTTCTGCCCTGGCCTTCACAATCGCACCATTCTCAGCTCGACTCATTGCCTAGCTCACATACATGGGCTTCGGCCGCTTTCAGGGTTACGGTTGCATGATTGGCAGAACGCACATCTCCAGAACCAGCACTTCGAAACACGATCCCTGCCCAGGCCCAAGCTCCCCCCAAAGAAGCCCTAAACCCTAAACCCTAAACCCTAAACCACTAAGTAATGATCCTGAGGATATCGTGAGGCCAGCCGCGGGCCCAGGGATGGCGGAGGAGATCAAACCGGCTACATAGGTTTAGGGTTTAGGGTTTAGGGTTTAGGGTTTAGGGTTTAGGGCTAGGGTTTCGGCTTTGGGGTTTAGGGTTTGGGGTTTGGGGCTTAGGAAAGTTTAGGGGTTAACGTTCCTCACCCCCTAGACCATGAAAGACACCATGCACTGAAGGAGGGGTTATTGCCCTAAACCGTAAACCCCAAACCCCCCCGATCAGGGGGAGCCAGCCTCCTCCACCACGGGCGGCCCATAGCCATCGTCCACCACTGCCACCGCAGGTGGCGCTTCAGCTTCAGCAGCTGGTGCCTTCAGGCGGTTTAGGGTTTAGGATTTAGGCTTTAGGGTTTGGGGTTTAGGGTTTAGGGCTTAGGGCTCAACCGGACGATGAGTCCCAAGGCCATGGTCCTAAATACTGAGTTCAAAGCCTAGGCCCTGGTTCAGGACACTCCTCACGTGTTGGAAGGATGGTACTGCTCCTGAAGTGCCATCCTCGGTGGATGTATAAGGGTGCCCAAGGTCTGCCACTTTTCCCTCTTTGCTTCAAAGAAGAGAAGTCCATCGCTGAGGCCGAAGGCCAAAAGCATGCTAAGGGCCTCGGGTCCGGGCAACGGTTGCTCTGAAATGGCCAGCTCGTGAAGTGAGAGCGCAACCATTCGGCGAAACGAAAGGGGCTAAGCGGCTAAGGTGCTCTGCCTTAGACCGTAAGGTTAATCATGCCTGAAGGTCGGAAGAGTCTGGACAGCCCAGTTCTGACCTCCACCAAGCACAGCAGCCTGGCCAGCACATCTTCAAACACAAAACTGCTTGCGGAACAGTTCCTGTCCCAGCCTACAAAGTACACATCATCCCGTCGTGCTGCAAGCCACAACAGTAACCCAGTACAATCGCGATGATCTGGAGGACGGCAGCTATCGGCTGGCGTATAAGTCCGTGGGCCGTGGGCATTTTGGTGTATGGTTCTGGGCAGAGGTGCGCAGCATTTCTTGAAATTCACTTGAAAGTTGAAAGACAAACTTCAGACTGACAGACCCCTATCACCGTTGATCGGCGGCGGGTGTCTGCGTTTGAGTCCGCATTTTCGAAACAGCAGCTCGGCGAGGCCCGCGTGTTCTGACATTGACCCATTGCTCGGTAGATGCTGGGCTGATGAAAGAGATGTGGGAACGATGTGGGCTCTGCCCGCCGGACCCCGCCGCGGCAAGCAACTTCTACAAGACTTCACCTCCTCCCCCCCCCCCCCGAAATTATGGCCATCTCACTGATCTTGGCGCCTGCTGCGGATGATGCCACTGAACTGCTTCGGTGCCAGCTCGACATCATGTAGGAAGCGATTCATCTTGCGAACATGGCGCTCGTGAAGCCGGCGATCCGGCGCGATGATGGTTCCTGGGGGCAGATCACGCCTCCAAGCCTCACTGTCCCAGGATGAGCTGACAGTGTCCACCGTTGAAGCGGTCCCTTTTCCACTACTGCCCGCGCTAGTCGCCCGTACAAAGTCTCCATCTGGAAACGTGATGACCGCCTCAAACTCATCCTCATCTTCGATCAAGGGGCGGCTCGGCAGTTTCTTCAGCCGTGCTTCCTCTGGAAAATCCGGCATAGGCGGCTTGAGGAAGGAGATGCCAAAGAAGCTGGGAGGCGGGTCCGGGTGATCCTCGGCCATCGGAACGGGAGGTTTCGCCATGCTCTGCATACCCAAGCATGGACCACGGAGGTTCGATTGTTCAGGACTTCCCATGGCTTGATCCAGAAGGGAAGGCTTCTACTGAAACTCCACTGCAACCAAGAAAGTCTTGAGCCACAGCCGAAAGTTCATTCCAGGCCTTTCGCAGCCCACGTAGCTGGAGTGTGCACTGCCGGGACCAGTCGTGGTAAGGGGACTGGACTGGAATAGACAAAGAACCGATTCCGATCAGGCAAATCGCAGCTTTGCACCAAAACGCAAGAACGACTTTGGGTGGTGTTTTGGGGCGGAGTATGATTCGATTATGTTTTGGGGGGTTGCCTCGCGCATGTGCAACACAGTGCTTGCCCAGGATGATACAATGTATCGTGCATGAAGTGACATCAAAGTGTCGGGTCTGAACTGATGCACAAAGGTGAGCAAGGTCGTCTGAAACCTTTTTTGTTGCTTCAAGCAAGGGTTTTCCATCGCTGAGTCCGAAGGCCAAAAGCATGCTTAGGGCATCGGGTCCGAGCAACGGTTGTTCTGAAACGGCCAGCTCTTAAAGTGTGAGCGGAACCATTCGGGGAGCGGAAAGAGGCAAAGCGGCTAGCTTGCTCTGCCTTAGCCTCAGACCTTAAGAGCACATAACGCTGCCTGAGGCTCGGAAGAATCTAGGCAACCCAGTTCCAACCTCCGCCAAGCACAGTGGCTTGGCCGGCACATCTTCAAACAACAAAACTTCTTGCTCAAAACAGCTCCTGTCCGAGCCTATACATCATCACGTCGTGCTCGCAACCCAGCATCCCAGAAACACTCAGAGCAATCCCGATCATCTGGAGGACAGCGACTATCCGCTGGCACTGAGTCCGTTGGCATAAGGGATCACAAGGTGTGTCTGGGAAGGGAGCGGAACACATCTTCAAACACACTTGAAAGACACCCTTCAGACTGACAGACCCTTATCACCCTTGATCGGCGGCGGGTGTCTGCGTTTGAGTCCGAATTTTGGAAACAGCAGATCGGCGAGGCTCGTGCGTTCTGCCCTACTGACCCATCGCTCAGCAAATCTTGGAATTATGAAAGAGCTATGAGAACTCACAGATGTGGGTTGAGCCGCGCCGGGCCAAGCAACTTCTACAAGACTTCACCTACTCAGACTAAGTCCCCCCGTCTCACTGATCTCGGCGCCTGCTGCGGATGATGCCACTGAACGCCTTCGGTGCCAACTTGACATCCTGCAGGAAGCGGTTCATCTTGCGAACATGGTGCTCGTGAAGCCGGCGATCCGGCGCGATGACGGTTCCTGGGGGCAGATCACGACACCAAGAGGCACTGTCCCAGGATGAGCTGACAGTGTCAACTGTTGAAGCGGTCACTTTGCCACTACTGCCCGCGCTGGTCGCCCGTGCAAAGTCTCCATCTGGAAACTTGATGACCGCCTCAAACTCATCCTCATCCTCGATCAAGGGCCGGCTCGGCAATTTCTTCTGCCGTGCTTCCTCTGCAAAATTTGGCACAGGCGGCTTGAGGAGGGAGATGCCAAAGAAGCTGGGAGGCGGGTCCGGGTGATCCTCGGCCATCGGAACGGGAGGTTTCGCCATGCTCTGCATACCCAAGCATGGACCACGGAGGTTCGATCGTTCCACACTCCCCATGGCTTGATCCAGAAGGGAAGGCTTCTACTGAACCTCCACTGCAACCAAGAAAGTCTCGAGCCACGGCCGAGGAGGTGGTGGAGCGTGCACTGCAGGGACCAGTCGCGGTAAGGGGACTAGACAGAAACCTGATTCCCGTCAGGCAAATCGCAGCTTTGAGATAAACCAGTACCGTGCATGAAGTGCCGTCAATGTCTCGGGTCTGAACTCAAACGAGGCTGATGAACAAAAGTGTCCAAGGTCTGTAACTTGTTTTTCTTCAAACAAGGGGTCGTCCATCGCTGAGACCGAAGGCCAAAAGCATGCTTAGGGCATCGGGTCCGGGCAACGGTTGTTCTGAAACGGCCAGCTCTTAAAGTGTGAGCGGAACCATTCGGGGAGCGGAAAGAGGCAAAGCGGCTAGCTTGCTCTGCCTTAGCCTCAGACCTTAAGAGCACATAACGCTGCCTGAGGGTCGGAAGAATCTAGGCAACCCAGTTCCAACCTCCGCCAAGCACAGTGGCTTGGCCGGCACATCTTCAAACAACAAAACTTCTTGCTCAAAACAGCTCCTGTCCGAGCCTATACATCATCACGTCGTGCTCGCAACCCAGCATCCCAGAAACACTCAGAGCAATCCCGATCATCTGGAGGACAGCGACTATCCGCTGGCACTGAGTCCGTTGGCATAAGGGATCACAAGGTGTGTCTGGGAAGGGAGCGGAACACATCTTCAAACACACTTGAAAGACACCCTTCAGACTGACAGACCCTTATCACCCTTGATCGGCGGCGGGTGTCTGCGTTTGAGTCCGAATTTTGGAAACAGCAGATCGGCGAGGCTCGTGCGTTCTGCCCTACTGACCCATCGCTCAGCAAATCTTGGAATTATGAAAGAGCTATGAGAACTCACAGATGTGGGTTGTGCCGCGCCGGGCCAAGCAACTTCTACAAGACTTCACCTACTCAGACTCAGTCCCCCCGAAAAGAATGGCCGTCTCACTGATCTCGGCGCCTGCTGCGGATGATGCCACTGAACGCCTTCGGTGCCATCTCGACATCCTGCAAGAAGCGGTTCATCCTGCGAACATGGTGCTCGTGGAGCCGGCGATCCGGTGCGATGACGGTTCCTCGAGGCAGATCACGACACCAAGAGGCACTGTCCCAGGATGAGCTGACAGTGTCAACTGTTGAAGCGGTCACTTTGCCACTACTGCCCGCGCTAGTCGCCCGTGCAAAGTCTCCATCTGGAAACTTGATGACCGCCTCAAACTCATCCTCATCCTCGATCAAGGGCCGGCTCGGCAGTTTCTTCTGCCGTGCCTCCTCTAGACATTTTGGCACAGGCGGCTTGAGGAAGGAGATGCCAACGAAGCTGGGAGGGGGTTCTGGGTGATCCTCGGCCATTGGGACGGGAGGTTTCGCCATGCTCTGCTTGCCCAAGCATGGTCCAAAGAGGTTCGATCGTTCCACACTCCCCATGGCTTGATCCAGAAGGGAAGACTTCTACTGAACCTCCACTGCAACCAAGAAAATTTGAGCCACGGCCAAGGAGGTGGTGGAGTGTGCACTGCAGGGACCAGTCGTGGTAAGGGCGGCAAAACGCAGCTTTGCAACAAAACGCAAGAACGACGATGCTTCGGCTGCTTCTATGTTTTGGCCGTTTGTTTCGAGCATGTGTGACACTAGTGCTTGCCCAGGATGATACGACAGTACCGTGCGTGAAGTGCCGTCAATGTCTCGGGTCTGAACTCAAACGAGGCTGATGCACGAAAGTGTCCAAGGTCTGTAACTTTTTTTTGCTTCAAACAAGGGAAGTCCATCGCTGAGACCGAAGGCCAAAAGCATGCTAGGGCATCGGGTCCGGGCAACGGTTGTTCTGAAACGGCCAGCTCTTAAAGTGTGAGCGGAATTCGGCCAGCCGAAAGAGGCTAAGCGGCTAGCTTGCTCTGCCTTAGCCTCAGACCTTAAGAATACATAACGCTGCCTGAGGGTCGGAAGAGTCTAGGCAACCCAGTTCCAACCTCCGCCAAGCACAGTGGCTTGGCCGGCACATCTTCAAACAACAAAACTTCTTGCTCAAAACAGCTCCTGTCCGAGCCTATACATCATCACGTCGTGCTCGCAACCCAGCATCCCAGAAACACTCAGATCGCGATATGTGGGAAGAAGGAGCGAAACACATCTTCAAACAGACTTGAAAGACAAGCTTATAGGACTGGCAAACCCCGTCATCACCCTTGACTGGCGGCGGTTGTCTGCCTTTGCGTCCAAATTTTGGAAACAGCAGATCGGCGAGGCTCGTGCGTTCTGTCCTATTGACCCATCGCTCAGCAAATCTTGGAATGATGAAAGAGCTATGAGAATTCACAGATGTGGGTTGAGCCGCGCCGGGCCAAGCAACTTCTACAAGACTTCACCTACTCAGACTCAGTCCCCCCGAAAAGAATGGCCGTCTCACTGATCTCGGCGCCTGCTGCGGATGATGCCACTGAACGCCTTCGGTGCCATCTCGACATCCTGCAAGAAGCGGTTCATCCTGCGAACATGGTGCTCGTGAAGCCGGCGATCCGGCGCGATGACGGTTCCTGGAGGCAGATCACGACACCAAGAGGCACTGTCCCAGGATGAGCTGACAGTGTCAACTGTTGAAGCGGTCACTTTGCCACTACTGCCCGCGCTGGTCGCCCGTGCAAAGTCTCCATCTGGAAACTTGATGACCGCCTCAAACTCATCCTCATCCTCGATCAAGGGCCGGCTCGGCAGTTTCTTCTGCCGTGCCTCCTCTGGACATTTTGGCACAGGCGGCTTGAGGAAGGAGATGCCAACGAAGCTGGGAGGGGGTTCTGGGTGATCCTCGGCCATTGGGACGGGAGGTTTCGCCATGCTCTGCTTGCCCAAGCATGGTCCAAAGAGGTTCGATCGTTCCACACTCCCCATGGCTTGATCCAGAAGGGAAGGCTTCTACTGAACCTCCACTGCAACCAAGAAAGTTCGAGCCACGGCCGAGGAGGTGTTCTTCAGGGTTGATTCCAGGGCTTTCACTGCCCACATAGCAGTGGTGAGTCGAAGCTGACACCAAAACGCACCTAAAGGACAAGTGCCTCGGGCTCTCCAGGACTTGACAGCTACTCCTTAGCGTGCCTCTTCGGCAGGCACGGCTGCGGCAGGGGGGTCCACCTCGATGGCCAGAGGCCAGGCCGCTCCAGCATCAAAAAAGCAAAGGCGCATCCTACTCACCATACTCGGGACACATGGTAGCAGTGCGTGATTGTTGTTGTGAGGCGCGAGGCTGCGCAACGAATATCCACAACCATGCATATCGGGGGCCTGTCGACACCTCCGCCCCGCTGATGGTCCCATGTTGAGTTTACGAAAAACGAAGGTCCCGAGTTCTCACTGTTCCTGGCCTCCGTGGCCACGGACACAGGCTCCCCACCTACAGAGGACAAGATGTTTTGGGGTCAGGGCGCACCGCTTTGCAATCAGGGCTTGGAGATGTGCTTCAGGGGTTAAGGGTTCAAAGCTTCGACTTAGGACCTATGGGATGGTGCAGGGTATCTACATATGCATATGCATATATGCACACTGTAAATAAACTCTATATAAATATAAATATATATATATATACATACACAGACAGACAGACAGACGGACAGACGGACAGACGGACAGACGGACAGACGGACACACGGACACACGGACACACAGACACACACACACACACACACACCCACACACACACACCCACGCACACACACAGACACACAGACACACAGACACAGAGACACAGAGACACAGAGACACAGAGACACAGAGACACAGAGACACAGAGACACAGAGACACAGAGACACACAGACACACAGACACACAGACACACAGACACACACACACACACACACACACACACACACACACACACACACACACACACACACACACACACACCACACACACACACACACACACACACACACACACACACACACACACACACACACACACACACACACACACACACACACACACACACACACACACACACACACGCACACACACGGAGCGCGCCCAGTGCCCAGTCCCCCCTGCCCTCCCCTTCGGTGGGGTCTAGGGGTGGGGGTTCAGGATTTAGCGTTGAGGGTTATAGTGCTACAGTTAGGGTTTTTGTTTCCCGCCAGGGGTTAGGGTTTGGGGTGAAGGGGAGGGGGAAGGTGGGGGTGACCGGCGCGGGTCATATTTCTGGCTCTCACCCCCGTCCCCACACCCCAAGGAACAACCTTGAATATGCAACAGCTATAGACACTAAACGTTCTGATGCGCTCCCTGCTGAATGTGTGCTGCTTCGCGCCTAAATAAAAGAACATAAATGCAGGTCTGCGCTTCTAATCTTTAGTTTTTGTATATACGTACACATATTTCTACATACACACTTGCTATACATATATATATATGTATATCTGTATACATATATACATATATATATATAGTATGCTATATTTAATCAGAGACGAGTTTAGTAAAGGCCTTTGGGGATCGAGAAGGCGGGGCCACCAAAACCCCAATGCTATACTGAACTTGGAACCCTAGCACAAAGCATAATCTTAGCTGTTTCTTAGGAATTAAAGTACCCTAAAGAGAGAATTTAGGAATTAAAGTGCCCCAAAACAAAATAATTTCCAAGCATCCCTAAGAATGATGATGATGAACTCTGGAGCTGCGCCTGGCGGAGTGTCTGCCACGGCCTCAGCAGCCGCTACCGCCGCCTGGAGTGGGGTTTAGGGTTTGGGGTTTGGGGAAACAGCGCAAGTAAGCAAGCACAACTACACGGCCCACATGCATGTTTATAACATTGCGCTGACATTTGCGTTGCATTGCATGTAACTAATTACGCAAACACATCATGCATACTGTTGACAGGCGTCTGAGACGATGAATAAACACAAGAGAGATGTGTGATTGTATGAACTCAGAAAGGTATATACACTATCTACCAGGATGGGCTATGATACCCTATATCTACTTATAAAGGCCCTTTATCGGGTTGATTCTGGGGATTATACTGCCTGTCCTGGTACACGGATGGCTGCTACAGGGGTCGAAAATTACCAATAGAATTCCCTTATGGGCCCACGAAAACTGTACTAAAATCACCCCCCAAAACCCTACTCTAATGATTAAGGCCCCCTATACCCTATATTTTGTACGCAACAAGGGTAGCCGACCTCCAGCACATCCGCAACCGCCGGGGCTTCCTCGGGCCCGGGAAGGCAGGTAAAGGACTTCGAGCCGCTTTACGGTGATAGCTTGGGATGTTCGATCTGATTATAGTACCCCCTATTATCAACCCGATTAAGGACTGTTAGTAGAAGAGTATAAGGGCGAACATCGCAAGTGATAGGAATTACGAGGTCGTGTTCAATGTTAGGGGTTCCGGTGCCAGAACAGCGTTGGTCCAGTGATCAGGTCGAAAGCCCGCGCTCCACTTCACAGCAAGTACAGCAAAATCACTGGAGAACACCGATGTGCAGAGCCTTACTTCTGTTCAGGCCGAACCCCTAAACCTTAAACCATCAACCCCATTTCATCTGTGCAGGCACGGCAGGCACGACATGCTCTCCACATGCTGCATCGTCAAAGGGGCCCAAAAAACTGCAAGCTTGCAAACCAAACCCCTGAAACAAGGTTAAAGGTGCCTGCAATGACTCCTGTTAATCTGCATCTGGTTTTTAGGTTTTTTTCAAGCGATGTGGCCAAAACTCGAGTGTTCACGCATTTCTGCATGTTGAGGTGTGCTTTTGTGGGGCGTAGAACGTTTGAGGGGTCTCAAAACATGGCCTCTGAGTGATTCTTGTCCTAGGTTTTAACCACATCTCATCAGGGCCAGCAACCCAAAGCATTACTTCAGGGTTGGTTTGTTGATGATTTCACTGAACCTCCTGAACCTTGAAGCTCAAACCCCAAGACCCGAAACCGTTAACCCCCTAAACCACTCAACACCCATATCTAAGGCATTTGAAGAAATATACATACATAGATACATACCTACATACATACATACATATATATATATATATATATATTTATATTATATTGTGCTAGTATAGTAATTAGTACAGTATTACAGTCTTACATGCTATGGCCACTCGCACGCACGGATGTTCTGGCCACTCGCGTGCACTGGTAACACGGACGTTCTCATCGTGCGGGCATGGATGCTCTGGCCACCCGCGCGCACTGGTTCCTCAAGAAGAACATTTTAGCAGGAGGCGCTCGTGGCGCTGTCACCCAAAACAAGGAGCAAGCGACTCCTTTCCAGCTTGTAGGCCTCCTTGTTCACTGAGTCTGCATAGGATTTCCGATGTTAAGCTCGACTATCCTCGACTAGAGGGTTTTGGAGGTTATCATAGCACATTTATATAGGGACCACGAGGGAATACCACTCGCTCCTGCGACCCCGATAGTAATCCTCCCAGCCCTGATTCAACAAGGTGCCGCTGCCGCCGGTGCGGGCGTTGCCGCGGCCGTCGCCACAGCTGCCGGCGCAGGCGCGGCCGAGGCAGACGTGGCTGAGGCAACTTCAGGCTCCTGTGCCCAGGGGGGGGGCTCCGCAACTCCCCCCTCTGTTCTTCTATGCTACGGAAGTTTCCAGCACAATTGTAGCCCCTTGTCATTTGAATCGTTTGACATGGCAACGGAAGGCACGGTGACTAGTATCGTGCGCCATGGCTCTGCTGCCATGGAGTCTCGGTTTCTTGCACCACACTTCCGGCCCAGCTTCGACTTCTCAACTTTGCGCCCCTGTGCTTTTAGGGTTTAGGGTTTATAAGGTTGAGGATTCTGATAGGAACAATGGGGGTTTCGCCTTCATCTTAACGGTCCATACATCTGCTGCGATCTTGAGCTTCTGCTGTTCGCAACCTCACAGCACGAACCACCGAAAACTACTCAACAGCCAGAAAAACTTCGAGCAGCCATCATACCCTTTCATGTGAGTCGGCAAGATGCTGCAAGAATGGCTGCACTAGTGGTAGGTACAGGGGGAGGTAGCATATACATAACCCCCAACGAAAGCGGTCCTTTGATAACATGGTGCCTGAACACAGTGCATCCCCCACCCCCACGTTCCTTCGCAGGCTCTGGGGGCGGTGGATTCCGATTACGGGCCGAGCGGACAAAGTCCATGAAGTCCGTCTTCCCAGAAACTTCCTTACCTGGGATCGGCGAGGGCTTCACACTCAAGATTTACACGGGCTTATGGGGTTTGACAGAAGGCGGAGTGGCAAACAAAGGGCCGCAAGGGTTGGGTTTTAATTTCGTGGCCAAGGAATCAGTAAGCTACTTGGCAGCAAATTTCCTGAGCCCTCTGCACAACTACCTCCGGGCTCACCAGAGTCTCCAACTAAAGACACCTCTATATGCTTCCCTCAGAACCTTAATGAAAACAGCAATATGTTTACTATTCCCTTGAGGTTTATACAAATAAAACAAAAAAATCCTGAGGGGGCTATGGACCTGAGACCCGGAGAACCAAAGTGCGAGCGGAGGCAGCAGAGGCCGACTGATTGAGATGTTGGGTAAGTCTCAAGAACATCGCTGCTGGAAACAGCATCATACTAAACCCTAAACCCTAAATCCTAAACCCTAACTCCCTAAACCCCTAAACCACTAAACCCTAAACCCTAAACCCTATGGTGGAGGAGCCGAACGAATCACATACTCAAGCTTCCCTACACAAGCTTGCTGCGCGCAGAGCGCACGGACGCCTCTCCAGTCCAGGTCCAGATGAACTCTTCCCCTCGAAGCGGTCCTAAACCCTAAACCCTAAACCCTAAATCCTAAACCCTCTCTCTTAAGCTGTAATCCTCGAAGCCCAAACACTCAAGCCCTTGTCTTAAACCTCTGGTGAGGCTGATTCCATGAACCCCCCAAAATCCTAGACTCACTGAGCTTTGTCACAGGAAACAGGTGAACAGGTTAATCTCTGGAGATAAGCCGCCAGACCCGACGAACAAAGAACCCAAGTCTGAAACCCAAGAGGCGGGCGTAGACCCGGATATGGTGTCGGCCGAACAGCCGACGGCTCTGCCACATGAAGGCCTTGTTGTACTTGGCCTTATACCTGAGCTCAAACTCAGAAATCCACTAATTATCCATCCTGACACCTGCATCTTTTAAGAAGCCGGTTTAGGGGGGTGGGTTCTGCAGCAGTCTGACTTTCCCATGCCAACCCCTGCCGCAAGGTACTAACGGTTTAGGACCCGCAAGACCAGCCTGACGTGAAACAACATCTGCTGAAGCAGCCTTGCAGGAAAATTTACGGCATTCAGGACAATTCCAGTAACTGGTTTGTGCCCTTCTGGGATGAAGACTTGGAAGTTCATGGTACTTACAACCCGATTATAAGCCCCTTAAGTGCCCTAATCTGGCTATTTTGACGGGTCATAAGTACACTTAGAATTGGGTGACGGCCTCATGCCCAAACTGAATCGCAGCCCAAGTCTCTCCTCCTCGATGCCATTTGCGGGATCCTTCACGGTTTAGGGTTTAGGGTTTAGGGTTTAGGGTTTTAGGGTTTAGGGTTTAGGGGCGGCAAGGTCGAAGGTTCAGGGGCGCAACGGTTTGGCTCTACTTGAAGGTTCATCGGGGTAGTTACTGTATAAGCAGGCTTACAAGTACCCTAAAACAGGCTTTCACCAGTTATGAGTATAGATGCCCTACGTTAGAAGCAAAACAAATCTGTGCTCTTTTTTTGGCCAACCTGCCTAGCAGCCTCAGACCACACCGCAGGGCTACAGGCCAGGTCACGCATCCCTCACCCCCTTTTTTTTTAAACCCCAACAGATCCCTCTTGCATCCGGGACTACTCCCCAACATCCCTCTAAATGCCCCCACGACTCCCTGAAGCCCTACAACCCCCAAACCTCAGACCTTCAAAAGACGTAAAGCCGTGAAACCCTGGAAGACCTAAAGTACTGGAAAATAAGGTTATCACCAGTTGTAGCTACAGTTCGCCTACTTATAACCCCACTAATTACTACCCAATGAACCTCCAAGTAAACCCCATAAACCCTACAAACCCTATAAACCCTACTCCTCAACCCCTACTAAGTAGATCGCCTCTTGGTACCACCTTATACTAACAGTCCTTAACAAGCATTATAGTACCCCAGATTATGAGAGAACACCCCAACCTAAAGCCCTAACCCTACACCCTAAACCCTAAATTCCAAACCCTGAAAAAGGCCCTGAAGCCCTACCACTAGGGGATAGGATTAGGGAGACCCTTGGGGATATAGACCCTCTGAATAAGGTGCCTGTGTAAGAGAGCCAGAAGAGGGTTAAGAAGGGGTTCCCGTTTAAGGGTCCTAACCCTAAACCCTAAACCCTAAACCCTAACCCCTAAATTCCAAACCCTGAAAAAGGCCCTGAAGCCCTACCACCGGCCCGAGATCTGAGAAGGTCCTCGTCCCCTTCGTGGCGATCCAAGCCCTGCTCCCCAATTCTGCGGAGCTCCAGGGCCTGGATTTGTTTAGGGTTTAGGGTTTAGGGTTTCAGGGTTTAGGGTTTCAGGGTTTCAGGGTTTCAGGGTTTCAGGGTTTCAGGGTTTCAGGGTTTCAGGGAAGTTTGGGGCTCTTTTTGGCCACCTGCCCAGGGTTTAGGGTTTGGGGGTTTGGGGGGTTTGGTGGCTTTAGGTTTGCTGTTGCCACCGGTCATGGCAGAGGTCTAATGTATCACAAATTTTCATGGACATGTTCCATTTATTTCATGATCACGCAAATGCAACATTTTGTTGCATTTCGTATTACACAAAGTACTTTCAAACTGAAATCTTAGAGGGTTTGCGGCTTGGAGGAAGGTTTGGCCGGGGATTTGTTTCCTTATATTTCAGTGTTTTTCCTAATTTTTTCGCGTTTTTTTGCTCGGTTTTAGGGTTTAGGGTTTAGGGTCTAGGGTTTAGGGTTTAGGGTTTAGGGCTTAGGGTTTAGGGTTGAGGGTTTAGGGCTGCCAGGGTTGCTAGAGTTGCTAGGGTTGCTTAGGTTGCTTGGGTTGCTTGGCTTGCTTGGCTTGCTTGCTTGCTTGCTTGCTAGGCCACCCACCCGGAAAAAAATGCAAAAAACGGGAAAAATAAGCAAAAAACACCGCCACCGGAAGGTTTGGGCGTTTGGAGTGCAAGTTCAAACTAGGTTGGCCTTTCATGCCCTCTGAGAAGGAAAACATGAAATGTCTTCTGGGCCTGCCGAGCAGTGGTATGTATTGCTGGTTGCTGATTTCGTTGCCCACATGGCCTTGAGCTTGGTCTTCAGGAATGCTGTTGAGGAACTTACCGGGGATGTTTGTAGGAATCTGCTCGCTGCTCCAAGGCTTCAGACCAGAACCGCCACCTGGGCGGCCAAATGTGAAGCACGGAGCCCAAACGTGAAAAATGAAGCAAAACCGAAACCCTAAACCCCTTTTACATCCAGGCCTCTAACCCTAAACCCCTCTCTCTCTCTCTCTGTCTGTCTCTCTCTCTCTCTCTCTCACCCCTAAACCCCTAAACCCTAAATCCTAGGCGCCACAGCCGCTACACAAGCCCTACACCCCAAGCCCTTAACCCTAAAAGCCACACTCTTTGCCTGAGCCTCCGGCGCAAGGCTCTGGGTTCCCCTCAGAATCGGTCCGGGGGGGTTGGATCACTGGCGGCGTGAAGTCCTTGACCTCCTCCCGCGGCTTTTGGGGGTTCAAGGGTTTAGGGGTTCAAGGGTGGGTTCAAGGGGTTTAGGGTTCAGGGTCAAGGGTTCAGGGGTTTAGGAGGGGTTCAGGGTCTAGGGGTTCAGGGTCTAGGGGTTCAAGGGTTGAGGGTTCAAGGGTTCAAAAACTCAAGGGTTCAAGGGTTTAGGGGTGGGGACCCGGTTTAGGGTGTAGGTTTTTGGTGGATAGGGACCCTAAACCCAAGACCCCGAACATGATGCAGGAATTCATCCCGACGAGCAGGAGGCTGCAGGGCGCATGAAACAGGCTTTGTTTTCTGAAGCCTTCGTAGCTGACACTCACGACGCATTGCAGGGAACAGTTGGTTTGGGTTCACAAAAGCAGTGCTCCGTGGTCCTTCAAGAGGTCGCGGATGGTGGGGTCCAGCTTTGGTTTGTCGTACTTCGGAAACCTGGGGTTGTTGTGGGAGAACATCGGAAGCATTAGAGTGCAGTAACCCCTGTGCTGATCTCGACGTGAAGCACGAGCCATGGCGCTTTCAAACTGAATCGGGAGCCATGGGTATCCTTATGGTCACTTCTCCAAATTACGGTCCCATTGGTGTTACTATTTGTAAGGCGGCCCCCCTAACATTTCGGGTACCCCAAAAGGGATCATTACTTTTTGAGAACTGACCATATGAAGCACAGCCGGGGCACTAGAGACAGGCATCACGGCTGTATTGGGCAGAAATCACCAACACTACCCGCTTTTTGCGCAAAGGGGCGAAACGGTGGTGCCCACCACATCGATTTCCTGCGCCTGCAGGAAGGAGACAAGATCGCAGGTCCCTCTGTCTGCACAAGTCTCAGACCCCTTCTTGTGGCTCCCTGGCTTGGTCTTCCTGTCGCCTTGTGGTTTAGGGTTTAGGGTTTAGGGTTTAGGGCCTCTCTGATACCCAGCAATTACAAAAAAACCGTGCCCCTTTGCACAGGCTTGTCCCAGCGGGCCTGGTCGAGCTCGTCGCTCTCGTGGCAACACGCTCAGTTTGAATATAGGGACCCAATCTAAGGGTAGTTACATGGTCCCCTTGATGTGGGCGCTTGAAAGGGACGGCTTATATACCCCCGTATACCGTATACAACGCAAGGGCCCACACATCAGAACCAGGGACCATATTAAGGGCCCAAATTTGAGCCCTAAACCCTAAACCCCTTTTACATCCAGCTGCCGGGAAATGCAGGCCCACACAACCAGCATCACAGTTCTCGTGACCCTAAACCCTAAACCCTAAACCCCTCAACCCTATGGCCTCCCAAAAGGGCAACAGAATCTGCCAGGCCTTGCCGGTCAGCATCTCCAGGCTGTCATGCTCCCACTCGCGGCAGCCCATTCCCTTCCTGTGACGACCCTTTTGCCTAAACCCTCAACCCTGAACCGTAAACCCTAGACCCTAAACCCCCGTACTCCACCGCGGCCCTGCCCTCCCAAGCATCGACTGCAAGAGTAGCACAGGGACATGCTAGCCCAAGGTGGCAACATGATCCGTGGGTGTGGGATCTTTTCAAGGATTGACGGTTTGCAAGTTTGGAAGCTTCGGGGGAAGACAGTGGATCCAAGAGTTAAGGAAAATTGACTCTGAAGTTAATTGACCGGCATCGGGCCGGCTCGACGCCCCTTAGGTCCAGCACAATTAACTCTCGATTTAATTGCCTGTTAACGTCGCGCGACGTAGCATGCCATGCCGGCAAGCTGCTCAAGGAAAACAATTAAATCAGGATTTAATTGTTTCTTCTAGACGACCCCAACCTGCAGAAACAATTAAATCAGGATTTAATTGTTTCTGCTAGACGACCCCAACCCGCAGCAGAATTAAATCAGGATTTAATGGACATGAATCAATGACCAAGCCTGAATACGGGTCGGATCGGGAACCACCTTAACCACTAGGACACCCATGAAATTAGGGACAACCAGATAACGAACTACACCTACACCGGAATGTTGATGGCGTGGCAGTGAGGTGATTGTCGAAGGGAGCTCACAGTTCCTCGGAGGTCTTTTCGTGGGCACGACAAGCATATGTCGACTGGCAGGAAAACATGCACGCGCGAACGATGTCTCCCTAGAGTAAGAGTAATAATAAGAACAATAATAGTAAGAATAGTAATAATAATAGTAATAGTAATAATAGTAATAGTAATAGTAATAGTAATAGTAATAGTAATAGTAATAGTAATAGTAATAGTAATAGTAATAGTAATAGTAATAGTAATAGTAATAATGATAGTACTAGGAAAAATAATAGTTGCAATAATAATGGTAGTAACAATAAGAATAATAATAATACTACTCATAATAATAGTAACAGTAATACGAGTAATAGTAATAGTAATAATTATAATGGTAATAACAATAAGAAGAATAATCATACTACTCATAACAATAGTAACAGTAATACGAGTAATAGTAATAGTAATAATAATAAGAAAATACTAATAAGAAGAAGAATAAGAATAATAATTGTAATACTAATAGTAATATTAAGGCTAGTAGTCAAAATAATAATACTAATAATAATAGTAATAAGACTCATAGTAATAGGAATAATAAGACTAACTAATAGTAATAATAGTAATAATAGTACAATTAAATCATGATTTGATGGTGCAAACAGGTACCAATTAGCACAAGTCTTTGCTATACCATTAAATCACGATTTAATTGTCTTCCAGTCAAACGCAAAGAAACACAATTAAATCACGATTTAATTGTGTTTTTGTAGGGACAAGGTATGTCGAGAGGTCAAAACCCAACCCAAACACAACAATTAAATCAGGATTTAATTTTTTTAACTTCTGGATCCATGGGTTTTCTTCGGGCAGGGTTGGCGCTTCCAAAAACCCTGAATCCTGCAATGTGAGCCAGGCGTCCAGTTTACCCAGTGGGACTCCCGCGCTAGGACGTGGGTCACCATGGTGCCGACACTGGCCCGCCTTGGGCGAGGTCCCACTCCAGAACTGAAGGTTTACGGGTTTAGGGTTTAGGGTTTAAGGCACCACCTGGACACACAGTTTCGTAGTGGAAGACATCTTACATCCCAAGCTCTGAGGGTGCTCATGTGCGGCAACAGCCTCGAAAGAACTTCAGCCCTCCCCAGCCAGTGCAGAGAGTCATCACAGAGGCAGCTTCGGCTTTGGAACGTGAGCTAGAGATTTGGGTAGGGTAGCCCTCTTCTCTACCCAGCATAACTGCACATGTAAAATATGTAAACCTAGAATTTAGGGGAAGACTTCGATCGCTATGTGTCACGCAACTTTCTTGATAAGACATGTGACATGGCCCAATGCTGCCTGATCCAATGATGCACATGTGCAACGAACATCTGCTTCCAAATCGTCTGGACATGTCCCTGCCCTGCCAATGAGTTGAGAACAGCGCATGACAAAACTGTGTGACTGCTCCGCTGGTGCTTCTGTTAACCCTAAACCCCAAACCCTAAACCCTAAACCCTAAACCCACGAATCCTGGAGTGAAAACGTTCCCAGTTTGGGCGAGCGTCGTTTGAGTCAGCACCTTTTCGATGCAACTTCTGATCTCCTGCCATCTGCACAAGCCCTGCAAAGCAAGGGGTTTAGGGTTTAGGGCTTAGGGTTTAGCGTTTAGGGTTTAGGGTTAGGGGAGCACCGACACCCTGCAAGAGGACTTCCGATGTCCTTCAGCTGAGCATGGATCGAGTCCGGCCTGGCCCATGCAGCAATCCATGGCTGGCATGTTTCGTTAAGCTCATGAGTCTTATGAGGGTTTAGGGTTTAGGGTTTAGGGTTTAGGGTTTAGGGTTTAGGGTTTAGGGCTCGTCTTTTTTGGGCAGACGGGTGGCTCATCTCACGGCGCGCATTCCCAAACCGAAGCATCTTCCCCCCCTGCGACACGGCGCTCCCATACGTGGTGAGTGTTTGTGGTTGCCTGTTAGGGAGGACGTCCTAATCTTCTAGGAATCACACCCTAAACCCCAAACCCTAAACCCTAAGCCCTAAACCCTACCTCCGGCTTCCGGGACTCTTCCGGGCCAAGGGGCTGCGTGGAGATCAACCCGCCCGGGCGATCCCTACGACCTTTCAGGGATTCCTTCTATTTCTTGAGTTTTGTTAGGGTTTTTTTGTTTTTCAGGGCGTTGGGGGGGACTTCTGGAAGTTTGAGCTGGGAGCTGTTGAAGGATTCAGGATGAGGCTTGGTGGGACGGCCTGAAACAGAGTTGTGTGCTTGCTTTGGGGGCTTGGAGGTTGTTTTTTGTTTTTTTGGGCGGGGAGGCAGTTTCAGCTTTCGTGATCCTGCAAGTGACCACTGAGCACTATTGATGCCCGAGAACACAAGAACTTTGCTTCGTAGCTTTCTCAGGAGGTAGAGTGGTGCGGCGTGGTGCCGTATGCTGACTGCGGGCTAAGTCGCTGGACACATCTTGCTCCAGAGCTTGGAAAGCAATCAGCACCTGATGGGAGCAACAAGATAAGGCGGTCATCCTGGCTGCCTTGTGCAACGGCAGAGGTTGCAGAGCAGAGGGATAGGGCAGGTTTAGGGACATGGCGATGCCATCGCGTCCCACGAGACCTCACTCGGCCACATGCCTTGGACCCTATCCAAGAGCAGGCTTCACGGACGAAGCAGAGTAGCAAAAAGCTGGGGCCTGCGTCAGGAACTGGATTCTGAGCTGCGGGTCGTCCATCTGAACCTTCGTACCCACACCGGCGGGCTGGTCTCGGGTGCGAGTGTCCCGTCGCAAGCTGCAGCGACAGCACTTTATTTAAGAGCACAACATCCCTAAACCCTAAACCCTAAACCCTAAACCCTAAACCCTAAACCCTAAACCCTAAATAAGAGCCTCGTCCGGGAGCCGACGCCCACAAGTGCGAAAAAAAAACTAGGTACCAAAATAAGAAATCCAGGGTGCGCTCAGCTTGGCTCTGAATGCTGGGATATACCGTCGCCAACTTAAACCCCTTTTGCAGTACGCCTCGTCGGAAACGCTAAACCCGAAACCCCAGGCCCTAGACCCTAAGAAAATCAAGGGCTCACTTCCTTAAATTCCAGTTGGGCCCCTGGCCTTGGCGCCAACACCTGGATTTCTTTATTTTCTATTGGGCCACCTGGAGTTTAGGGTTTAGCTTCGAGTCGAGGGTTGGGAGGGCTTGGGGAGGATTCTTTGAGGGTTTAGGGTTTAGGTTTAGGGTTTGGAAGGGGTTTGGGCAGGTCTAGAAGGGTTTGGGTGGGTTCGGGAAGCCCTGCGGGGACTTCCGAACCCCGCCCGAACCCTACTAGGCCTGCCCAAACCCTCCTAACCCAATTTCCTCAAAACTAAATTCAGTAATCCAGCTCCCTGATTGTCAGTGGATTTAGGAAATGACAAATTTATTAAGAGATTCGGGGCACGCTCGGGATGTGGGGATGTATTTCTGGATAAGTATGGGGGGGCCCTGACCTGGAGTTATCGCTTCCCTAGCTGTGCACCATTTGCATGCGAAGAGCACGAAAGGCTCGGGCACGACAGACCTGCCAGGGCATGTTGCGTTCAGGCCCACTGTAGATGCTGCAAGCATGCGCTTAGGAACAGTAGGTTCTTCTTGCCATGGCCGGAATCTCGGCTGCCTGTTCACAAGCATCGTTGCACTGCTTACGTCCCGCATACAGCACCCTACCAATCAACGATTCTGCTCTCATGATTCAGCCATGCACGAGGATTCCAATCCATGCCACAAGCTTCAGTCACCCACTACCTTGTACATCCCCTCCCCAGCCCCACAACCAAAAACTCCCAAGGCCCCATCCCCAACCCCGAAACCCCTCAACCGTCACCCATTTGTCCGCCTGGGCTTCCCTAAACCCTAAACCCTAAACCCTAAACCCTAAACCCTAAACCCTAAACCCTAAACCCTAAACCCTAAACCCTAAACCCTAAACCCTAAACCCTAAACCCTAAACCCTAAACCCTTCCCTTCCCTAACTCCCCCTCCTCTCCTCTCCTCCCCTCTCCTCCCCCCTTTGCGCCTGACGCTGTGGAGCTGGCTCCGGTGGGGTCCAGGGCTCCCGTTGCTCCGCGGAGGTGGGATACTTCCTTTGCTGAATGGCTGGGAGACTTTGGGGCTCTAGGTTTCAGGGGAAACTTGTTGGTAAAAAGGTGGCAGGCTGTAGCAGCATGGTGACTTTCAAGGCCCCTGATTGCCCTACCTGTCACATGCAACTTCCGCCCTTCGGAACGGCTGAGGATCTCGAACTGCTTCAGCAGCTTCGTCATGGCCGCCTGAGCTCGAGGGGTTCGGGGCTCAGCGGCTTAGAATAAGCCAGTTTGCAAGGCAGCAAGCCGCTGTTGCCCCCTAAGGTCAAGGACTCTGAGCCCAAACCCTATGAAGCCCTGTAAAGCTCAATGCCAAGCCATGGCGCATGGAAGTGCTTCCAATTCTCAGGCTTCTCGAAGAGCCTGGGCTGAAAATTTGGGGACCGATGCCTGCAGCTGCGTGCCTTTCGTTTGTGGTAACGACAGAGGGCTTAAGCTGTGCGGGGCTTAGCGTATAAGGGCCTAGAGGGCAAGGGGACATCGGCTTTTAGGGCTTTGCCTTACAGCTTTCTGGAGGACAGCCCCGAATCCCCCAAAACCTCCCCGAAATGAGTGACCGACCTCCGACCCCTGGATGCCATGACCCGTAACCTAAACCCCTTTGTAACTGGGACTCTTTGCTGCCGTAAACCCCTAAAACTAAAACCTCAAACCCCACGTCCTAGAAGGAGTCGGACACAGTTGTGGCTCGGGCGCGCGGGGCGGACCAGTAGAAACACACTCACCAGTCCCAGCAAGGCAGCCCATTGCACTGTAAGCTGCCTCATGCCAGTCATACTCGCAAGGCAACCTGAAGCCAAAACCCACTCTCCAGTTCTCGGGGGGGTTTGTCAAGTTGAAAGTCCGGGATGTGCCAAAAAAAAACCGCCACACCCCGACTGCAACCAAGGGGCTTTTCCACGACTTGAAGCGACTCCTGCAAGGCCCAGAAGCCTGGAGAAGGTCTGCGGTCGCCACCCCCCTATCGGCCCGAAACAAATCTCGGATTCGGGGAGCCCGGGGAGAACGCGTGTCGAGGCAAAGCTGCATGCGCGGGCGCTGGCCTGTGTAGTCGCTGTACTGGAGGTTCGGATCATGGCCCAAACTGCTGAAGGTCTCCTGTGACAGTCTGGCAGTCTGCTTGGCCTTTTGTGTTTCGGGTACACCGATGATTTTAAACTTCAGAATTGCTTCCACACATTGACACGGCCTGTGAGCTGAGCTGTTATGGGCGTGGAACTAGGGTTTCGGCAAGCAAGGCAGCTGTCTGTGGTCTTGCACCACCACGACCGCACAGATGGTGCAGCTGACCATCACATCTTGAGGCTAGAGACGTAGACTGGGAGGTTCATGGTACTTCATAACCCAATTGTACCTGTACTGATAAACCAAGTATAACCACATTAGGGCACTTAAGGGTATAAGCGGGGTACAAGCACACTTATCAGTACCATGAACCTTCTAGTGTTTGGACAGGGCGTTGGTGCAAGATGAATCAGGGAACCATATGGCATGGCATGGTCTTCTTGATGACGATGTAGCAGCGTAGCAAAGTTAGCTGCAACTGGAATAAACCCGGTAAACCCTCAAAACCCAATGCAATCAAGACAATGGGGCCTGGCTTCACATGGAACTCAAGGCGAAACTGGGTCCAATCCTCTCCCCTCGGGTTTGTCATCTACCCCTGATGAGCCTCAGGGGCGCTGCTGTTGCCGTTGCTCGCCTGAAACCCTAAACCCTAAACCCTAAACCCTAAACCCTAACCCTAAACCCTAAACCCTAAACCCTAAACCCTAAACCCTAAACCCTAAACCCTAAACCCTAAACCGTGGGGGGCAGGTTGTGACCAGGATTGGGGTCTTGGGCAGCTCGGGGGTCGTAGAATCGAAGGAAGCTGCCCTTAGGTACATGGCCCAAGGCGCGGGGCATGCCGAAAGCAAGCACGCCCCCCAAAAATCACCCCTGGCTTCAAGGGGCCTCTGAAAAATTGTTGTGGGCTCTGCAGAATCTCTGGCACTCCCCAGGAAGCCCCTGGGCTAAATAACCCTAAACCCCCTTGTTGCGCCAGGGCTCGCTTTGTGGCCCAGTCGAAAAGAGCTCCGAAAGCAAATCCTAAACCCTAAACCCGAAACCCTAAACCGGCCTAAACCCGAAACCGCCCCGAAATCCCTTCCGCACCCAGCTTGCATCGATGCAGGCTGCCGCCGCAAGGTTGCCGGAATGAAGGGAGAGCCTACTTCTCTTGGTTTAATGAGGTTTCTGTGAGAACCTTTTTCATATCCATGAAAAGGAGAAGAAGGAGTTAACACTGGGGGGGATAAGGCTTCAACAAAAAAACCCACGACCTATATAACTTTAAACCCACAAGCCTGACGAACTCACTGAAATGCCCTATATCTTCCCTAAACCCTAATTAAACCCTAAACCCTAAACCCTAAACCCTAAACCCCAAACCCTAAACCCTAAACCCTTGTACTGTGCAAGCCGAAGCACAGCCGCGCCGCCAGGCTGCTCTGCCTCCGCAGGTGCCGCCGCATCTGCCTGGCTAGGGGTTTAGTGTCTAGGGTTTAGGGTGCAGGGTTTAGGGTTTAGGGCTTAGGGGTTAGGGTTTAGGGTTTAGGGTTTTGGGTTTAGGTCTTAGGGTTTGGGGTCTAGGGTTTAGGCTTGAGGTGCTGGGCTTTCATCACGTTTGGCTGACTGTTGGTGCCGGGGGTCCCAAGCCCTGTGAACATGCTTCATGCAGTCCGCCCCTAAAGCCTCACAAAGCGAATCTCCGGAATACCCAAACTTCCTACACGCTTGGCCTCCTTCGCCGGTTCTGTTGGTGGTGGGGAGGCCTGTGCAGCAGCAGAAGTCCAATACAAGATATAGCATCAATTATTAACACATGTGTAAGAGGTACTATGCAATACGTTACATAACATGTCTTGCAGTACATTGTAGTAAGTTTATACATACATACATATATATATATAGATATACATGTACATGTAAATACACACGCCAAGATTAACCCCAGCCGCCGCCACCTAACTCGAATGCGACTCAAGATCCAAAATGATAAAGGCTGGCGATCCAAGATCCCGCTTTCCACTTTGCTTTTGCCCTAACGCCCCAGTTGGACAACAGGAACCAGTTAAAGTGGAAAGGGTCAAAGTAGTGGACAGCGACGTACTAGTCCGAAACAGGTGAAAGAGAAAGGGAAATCGTATGAAAAAAGTGGAAGTGGAAAGTGTACTAGTCCGAAACAAAGTCAAAAGTAAAAAGAGTAGTTACTAGACCTACAAAAAGTGGAGTGGAAGTGGAAAGGGCACAGGCCCGAAGTAAGTGGAAACTGGGAAAGTGGAGAGTGGAAAGGCCATAGGCCTAAACAAGTGGAACGTGGAAAGGGGCAAGTGGCAATCGGAAGGATACACATCCGTTCAACTTAAACTTATGCCCTTGTCAGGGTTGCAGCCCCCCACAACAGTTAATGCGCAGATATTTAGGAATACTCTCCCAAGTTAAAACGGCGTATCTATTGTGACGATGGAGGTCAGGTATACTAATGGAACTACTCATGCTACTAACCGTCTTTTCGATGCTAAATCTGGGCTAGGACAGCTAGGACTGCGAATACAAAAAGCCGTAATATTCCCGACCTTCTTAGTCAAACGTTTACATGTGGATCATTGTGGATCTAATTCCGAATATTGAAAACGAAGGGTGTAACCTTCTCATCACTTGATGGAGAAGCTCGCGTTTTAGGTACGAGCCATTGTTGTTTGCGGTTCAATGAGTATATAACTAGGCATGAAGAGCTAGCCCCCGAATAGCTGTCCTGCATTCTCTTCCAAGAGCCCCGGCCATTCAAGAAGTAAGAATGTAAAATCATACTCGACCTCCCATTAGCTACTCAAGTTACCCAAATTGTTCTTTTCGGACTTGGCGTCGGGGACCTGTATGGTTGGGAGTATTTCTCCATAACTTATAAGTCGCATGCCGTGCAAAATACACATGTTTATACAAGAACAACATATGCCAAAAGTGGCACACGCGGATTATATAGTATGGGTACCACTGTTCTACTATCATAGCCGAAACTAGCAGGACAATTTGCCGGGAGCGAAGGCTACATGTACTAGTGTATAATGTAAGATACATGATAGTATTACATTGCATTCTACAATATTACATGTGACATGCTACATCTTGCATACTATATGTTATGATGTGCATTGAATATTATTCATTTGATAGTGTATACTACAGGTTAGAATACATAAATACTGTTTAATACTGTTACATATATATGGAGACATCTACCGACATTCACTACATTCTACGTTAACATGACAAACGGGTCCAGCTTGGGGGCGCGCACGCGCGCTACTGCCATCTGCACGAAACATCACCAAACCGAGTGTTCCCAAATGTTGAAAGCTAGAAGCTGTGACGATGCGGGCGTCACGCATATGCAACATATGCAACTATGGAGTCCCAGGGGTAACATCGAGACCCGCAATGTTGTGTCCGCATGTGTGTTGTTTTCCCGTTTCGGCAGTCCACCTCTGGTGCTGTTGGTGCCGCGCACGTCTCGCTGACATCCAGGGAGTATGGCAGCACCTGCGGGCAGGAATTCAAGCGCTGCAGGGGCCTCTGCATCAACTGGCTGAAAGAAGTTGGCCAGCGCATGAAAGTAGCAGCTCGGAAATTTGTTGATGTCCTGCGCCTCATTGTGTACATGCGCACATACTGTACACACAGGCATTGCCTTTAGCGTCAAACTCACGACTGGTGAAGTAGGAGCTCAGGCGTCAGATGTCAGCTAGATCGAGTTGTGTCCACCCTATGGCAGGCCTTCACGTCGACGTCCAGGTCGTCCAGCGTGAACTCAGTACAGGTATGAGCAATGAGGCCTCTGAAAATCTGAGGTTACTTCCGCCCAGATCTACACATGAAGAAAGGGTATTCCTGGCAGGGCCCAGGCCAAACTCCTGTGTAAACAGTTTCTATCACTAGTACCACAAATCTTCGACCCCTCGACCTCTCAAAACGATGCAGCCAAAGAATCGAAGTCCTGTGCACGTGTCTTCCTGGGCCATGCATCTGTGGGGTGGTTTCGGGCAGTAGACTCAGTACTGGGTAGGAAGGCTGAGGGTCCCAGCACTGCATCAGCGTACATCAGAGTCGGGTCGTGGCGCTCTCTTTGCTTGGTGCTCTCCGTGAGTGATAGCCAGCACCATGCGCAGCAACGTGCCGGCGACACACTTGCCGGATATGTTATGGGCTATGAGGAAGGAACCATCGCTAACTTCCACTAGCTAAGAAGCCACCATGCATAGGACACCCTGACGCGAACATCTCGACTGCATGCTCAGCCTATCAGGCAATGCCCGCATCCTGTTGCAAGTCGTTCACCACCATGTGCTTTCCTCCTGTAAGCTTTTCTGGGTGACTGGCAAATAAGACGGCAGTTTCGATTCCGAGTCTCGGCCTATACCAAGTGGGAGCCCTACTGTCCTATTGTATGTTTTTCAGTTGGCGCCCAGATCAATGAAAATGGATACGGTTGCCCTTGACACCCTCTTGCTACAAAACATGGCAATGTGCAGCTTGGCGTCTGATTGTTGGCAATGGCCTGTCGGGCGGACGGGCGATGCTTCAATCGAACTGCAGATGCACTGCGCCCACCAGAGTGAAGCACCCAACAGAAAACTGGACGACGTACGACGGATAAGTGGGTTGCACGCTTTTTGCACCTGTGTGCAAGCGACGATGGCGAGAAGGAAGCTTAAGTTAGATCGCGCCGATGCTTGCTAAAGACCTCCACACCTAAAGCTCGAACGCCCCAAGTCACTCGCGTATACCTCCCATAAGTTCGGTCCCACCCTCGCCACATTTGTGGAGACCAGAAATTTGGGATTTACCGCTAGAAATGGCTGACGAGCTTGATAAGTTTGTGAATAATCAACTGGGGGCGAGTTGTATTGTGTATGCATCAGCAAAGATGTTGGTGCCGCACTCCATCAAGATACAACCTAGCAGACTTGCACAGCCTTTTGGCATCGTTGCAGGAACTGTAGAACACCTGTAACCCTAATTGCAGAACAGGACCATGCGTTGCGTCTCTTCGGTCCAGGAGGTGTGATCTAGGCGTTGCCGCCCAGAACCTTCTATACGGTTTTGAGCCCATAAGCTGGGGACCCTGGGGCCAAGCCTTTCCAAGGGCATAGGGCGCCCCGACCTTCTGCATCAGATCGGTTCTCTAGACTTGAGGCCATGCTTGTTTGGCCAAAGGCCAAGACAAAAGCTCCGGGCCTTGAGAAGCCATGATGAGTGGAGATCTCTGCTGCCAACCCCCTCAGCACCCCCCCCCCCCCCCCCCCCCCCGCGCCAAAAAAAAAAAGGAAAATCGCGACATCCAGCCAGCGTCTACGGCTGCGCGTCTTGCGCGTTCCGATCTGTCCACCCAGCTTCAGGAGCCCCCTGAGAAACCGACCCGCACCGACCTTCAAGAGGGGCCAATCATCCTAAGTGTTCCCCCCTTTCTTGGAAATAACATCAACCAGCATCAGGTCAAGGAGAAATCCCTAAGCATTGACAACATGCAGTTGCCATTTTTTCGCTGTGTCCGAGTGTGAGGGGCCAAGACATAAGTCTCCATCTAGGGCAACATCTATTCTAACGGCGGAGCTAAACACCTCTCAACCCCCCAACCCCCCCCCCCCCCCCCCCTCGAATTCTATCTACTCAAGGATGAACATTACCCCGGTGCATCCAGTCCAAGCCTGAAATCGCGCGTCTGTGCTTTTGCTTAACCCGGACTCGCCACAAAGCCTTTTTTTGAGCCAGGGTTTGGGGTTTAGGGTTTAGGGCTTGGGGCTTAGGGTTTAGGGCAAAAAAACCCTAAACCCCCAAACCCCACCTTGTGGTCAAGTGCCAGCAGCCGCTCCAGAAGCAGCGAGATGCGCGCCCGAAGCCGGCAGTTGAAGGAGCCTCTTCCCAGGAGCTCATTGGCTTGAGGGCAGGAACCCTTGCGGGTTTAGGGCTTAGGGTTTCGGGTTTCGAGTTTAGGGTTTAGGGTTTTGGGTTTAGGGGTTTGGGTTTAGGGGCGAGGGTTTAGGGTCTAGGGTTTGTAGTAGGACTTTGAGGAGGTTGCATCTTGTTTTTGAGGGATGCGGGGCTTGAGGGTTTAGGGCTCGTTGGGCTCGGGATTAGGGCTTGTTGAAGATAAGTGCTGGATGCAGGGTTTAGGGCTGGATTTCTATGATGACCTCACAGCTTGGAGCGCGACAAGCCTGACCAGGAGGTGTTTAGTCGGGGCTTTGTGGCCAGCAGGCTGCAGTGGATTTGAGGTGTTCCGAGGGCCGTGCAACTGGGCCAAATTTCGCATGGGGGCGGAAGAAACTTTTGAGCTTGTGTCGGGTATTGAAAGTGATTCTTGGGGTGCTTTTTTGGGGTCAAAGGAATCAGGCCGCTTTGGTCAGCCCAGCTCGGGATTTCAAGTTCCGAATTCTAAACGCACGAACTTATGCATCCACAACCAAGGCCCCAC